GCTCATGCATGCAAGGCAAGCACTCTACCACTGAGCCACCTTCCCAGCCCCCAACTTATTCTTTATTATGGTATCTTTTTATGTTCCTTGCATACAATATTAGCTCTTATTTTTCTGGAATACTCATTTGTGTTCATATTTTATTCTCAGTTGCCTCTGTTTTTTCTGAGTTTGTATTCTAAATGTTTGTTTTCAATTGTCTTTCACATTAGTGGCTCTGATACTTGATTAATCACATAGAAGATGTAAGCACTAGCTTTCATGTAATCCTAATTACTCAGATGGCTGAGATCCAGAGGATCTCAATTAAAATCCATCCTGAGCAAGGAAGTTCATGAATATCTGTTTCCAAAATAGCCAGCAAAAATTCTACTTGGAGGTGCAGAGGTGTGGGAGTCTGCCAGCTGTAAGTAAGGAGGCTGGGCGAGCATGAGGTCCTGAGATTTTGAGAGGTACACAGCCTCTGCAAATGATTCTTTAAGGTCATCTCTTAGCCAGGCACTGGTGGTTCATGCCGGTAATCTTAGCTATTCAGGAGGCTGAGATCTGAGGATTATATTTCAAAGTCAACTAAGGCAGGAAAGTCCTTGAGACTCATCTCCAATTAAACACCAAAAGCAGAAAGTGAAGCTGTGGTTTAAGTGGTAGAGGGCTAATAATACACAAGCTCAGAGTTAGTGCCCAGGCCCTGAATCCAAGCTCTAGGAAAGGTGAAAATAAACAAAGGTATTACTTAGCTGGCTATATGTTTTTGAGTCAACTTGATGTTGAAACTCTTGCTGCTTTTTAACCAACTTTTCTTGGGGGGTGAGGAGGGAAGGGGTCCGTTGTGGGGCTTGAACTTTGGGCCTGGGTGCTGTCCCTCAGCTCTTTAGCTCAAGGTGAGTGCTCTACCACTTGAGCCACAGTGCCACTTCCAGTTTCCTGGTGGTTAATTGGAGATAAGAGTCTCACAGACTTTATTGCTGGGGCTGGCTTTGAACTGCCATCCTTAGATCTCAGCCTCCTGAGTAGCTAGTATTACAGGCATGAGCCACCAGCACCCAGCTTAATCATCTTTCATATTTCAACAGGAATCAGGAGGCAAACTATTATGGAAAAGGAGTTAGAAATTTTTCTTTACATTAATCTTATTTATAAAACACTGGCTTATAACAATATAGAACCTATGATAGTAATGTTGTTTAAAGTCTAGTGTTAGAAAACTGAATAATATGGGTCGTACTACATGCCCTTTAAGGGATTAGGTATATGTGACATGTGCATTTTGTGTACAAGCATATCAGTTAATTTAAATGAAAGGGATCAATATAAAATAGTGAATGCATATAAAATAGTTAAGTAAAAAATGAATGTGTGTCAAAAACTATAGCTAAATTTAAGCCAAACAAAAATCATTGTATTTCTTTATGATTGTTCAGATTCATAATAAAATAAAGGAGAGTTCTTGTCTCAGAACCAATGTTTACTTCTATGTTCTGCCTTAGCCAAGTTTTTAAACAATATCACTTCTTTATTTTCTATAGATAAATTCTCCGAGTATCAGGTTATCTCTGGTTAAACATTAAAGAAAATCCGTTTGAATCAACAAGCACGTGCTTCTTTGTACACAGCTCAAAAGGTGGAGCCCCCAAATCACTACAGCAGAAGGAAGTTAAAAGATGCTTAAATACTGGGGCCTGCTTAGCTTCATCATCCTAGTGGTCTGGCTTCTCAGTCAACATGAAGGCTCTCCTTATTCTGGGCCTTTTTCTACTTTCTAATACTGTCCAGGGCAAGATTTATGGAAGATGT